ACACAACCGCCATATTTACTAGTATAAATTAAAATAAGTAAATCAAGCACTCCTAAGATATAGAAAATGTATATACATACCTTTTGCTTGACAGGATGGGGAAATGATTAGAACCACCAGGAAAAAGCATATCGTCAAGGACACGAAGGTCTTTGTCCAATTGCTGTTGAGTGCCATCAGGATTGGAAGCTATACGAGAGAATCCTCTTGCTATCACTTACTTAGTGCTCCTTTTTCAGACAGGAGAAAATGAATGTTTCCTTGGAACGAAGACCCCTTGTTTATATATAGAGGTAAGGCCTAGCTAACCTCACACTAGTGCATGCTATATATCCTCAAGATATATCCGGATCTTATAAAGTAACACCCCAATCAATAATGTTTACATATCCAATTCATATATGTTTATTTTAATTTGTAGCAAATCAATGAATCCATATCTTCAGGCATTTCTAATCTCCCACCACCACCACAAACTATTTTTACACGTTCCACTTTCGTATAGGAGCACCACCATCTTTTTTCCCCTTGATGAAGAGGTCGCGTTGATACTTGATAGAGAGGCTTCGCAGTAAAAAAGTTTGAACTTTGAACTAGCTAGGACAATTTACTTTTCCCATTTAGACACACAGTTGCCGTTCAGTTAGAGACCATAATAGGCTTGGCCCAGCATAGCCCATGTGATCGAGTTTCTTGGCGTACGTGCTGGTGGTGGACTTCAGAATGCCTCCAAACTCCAAAGAGTCCAGTCAACAATGGCTCGGAGACCCATTCAGTTGCTGCTAAAGTGAACCAATTTTTTTTTTTTTGCTTTTCTTTTTAAAAAAAAAAGCTGGGATTCGACTGGCCAACAGTACTCGCTCTGGTAAAAAAAGCGAGGTTTGGAACATGACTTAGTCAACCCTTAAAAAGTACACACATTAATCATGAGTAGTAATCCTAACTCTTGTTGACAAGGAACCTCACTCATCTTGTCTATTGTCTTGACAAGGGCCTCCAGTCCAAGTTGGTCAGAGTACCCCGGCGACACTTCTCAGGTCCTAGGTGTTAGACTCCTCGTGGGAGCGAATTTCAGGCTGAGGTTAAAAAAAACCCCTTGTCCGTCCCATATCCAAAGTACTGGGGGCACCGGCCCAATTCTCACTTGAGCGATGGAAAGCCACCGTGTAAGGGTGGGGTGGGGGTTCGGGGGTTTTCTCAACCTAATGAGAAGGTATTCTTCTTATTTGAAATGCTTTGGAGACAGTCTTAACCCCTTTAGATCAAGTTTTTTTTGATAAATCCTCACATTAATCAAGCATGTTCATCGTCCCTATCGTTCTAGGAACATGGCTGCGAGCTCCAGAGAACAAACATTCGTACATATACTCACATTACAATGATACAGCCACAAAATACGTGGTCAAGAAAAATAAAAAATGGCCGTACAAATATATTAGTTGCATCACATCCATGTAGAAATAAACAAATAGGCACACACAAAACACACACCAAGGTAACAGTATCAACTAGAGATGCCATAGGCAGAAGGCCACCAATCGTACATGCATACCACACGATTCTGCTATCTAGACAGCTAGCACAGCCTAAGAAGTACCAGCAGCAGCCCTGGCGTCATCACCGTCTGTCTGCGTAAAAACGTATCAATGCGCCTGGCACATAGCAATCCGGAAAGATCTGCTTGATAGAGCAAGGCTGAAGATCCGCTTGACTTCAACGCAGGGCTAGCCGATCCTGCAAATTCCTCTCGAAGGCGTGCCAGTCAATTTGACCTGCAATTGACAAAGAGAGAAAGTTTATCAGTAATTTAAGGTGAAACATGCCGGTTTTGCCCGGACAGTTCCAAGTGTGCCGCTACAGGAGCAGCCAGACGAGAAAATCGACTAAATAGCCGTTACGCAAAGAAATCGACTGTTTACGGACTGTACTGATCATGGGTTGCGGTTGATTTTATGATGACAAGTACAATGCACGCAGACATAAGTAAAATCATCAGCTAGGTGGATATTACCGATGTAAAGTATTGAGCCGATGAATCTAACGAGAAATGATATAACATACAAACAAATCGACTATCTAATACAAACGGGTCTATAAACGTTCTGAATCTAATCTGTTACCACCAACAGTGTTCGATCGGATCGATGACAGCTATGATGATAGTAACAAACTAAACCGAAGAATCCATAAAACCGTCTATACATTGACAGGTTTTCTGTAAGACATGCTATATCTGTGAAAGCACAGGCGAATCGACTGAAATAGCCGATTCAAGTAGAAAAAGGGTCATAGCATATGAACAATCGACTATTCAATATGAGCAGACCTATAAACTCCTCAAATCTACCATATTATCTTTAATAGTGGGGTTCGACCGGATCGATGGCAGCCATAATAAAGATAACAGATTAAACCTTTAAAGAAAACAGATCTATTCACATTTAATAGGGTCATAAAAACATGCTATGAACGTTAAACTGCAGGCGATCGGCTATTTAGCCGATGCAGGCATAGCAAACAGTCAAGGTCACGCCTGATCGAAAACAAATTTATCAACTAGCATCCTCCGATCTAAAGTGCCATCAGTGGGGATCGACCGGATCGTTACAGCCATAATAGCGAACTATAGACCAGATTTAACTAGCCAACAAATCTCCTCAAGATCAGACATGCCTTAACCGCGTACTATGCATGATCAAGATCGAAGTAGAACAACTGATGAAACGTAATCCATCGTTTAAAGTAATAACTGTTGCAATATAACAAGATAAAGGATGGATTAAAAGGATGTGAGGCCGATCTAGATCGATCTCGATCGGGTATATTGATATTGCTGAAAACTAATGACAGTAAGAACATCAGCAAGATCGGTAACTGAATGAATCTACCCGAAGGATGCCACCCTTAGACAGAGCCGATAACTTGACCTTAATCTAATTTAAGCAGTAGAGGTCGAACTTAACTGATGCAACCGTAGTTGAATTAGATAAGGATTGATCACTAACTTATACTAGAGCTCACAGTGGAGGTCAAACTTAACCGATGCAGCCTTACAAATAGAAGTATAAGCCATGACGGTACTTACAGACAAGCCGAAGGTCGACCGGACTGATGCAGCCCTGCTTGTTGAAGAACTCGCCGAGATCTACTCTACTCCTACTCCTAAGGGTTGGCGTAAAACCGAAAAAAGTAATTTGTATTGATTGATTGGATGTCTTTTACAATAGCCAGGGTCCAATATTTATACCCGGAACCTAAGCATGAATCCTACTCAAGTACGACTTATTGCAATCTTTGGTATAAAAGAAAACATTTCTAACTTAAGATAACTTGGATCCTAATCTTTCCCTTTTTGTAGAGTCCGTCATGTCTTTCCCAACGTCAACCGTAGCTTATTGTCGTTATCTATTGACGTCATATGAAGAGAGCCGATCCTAGTGCAGCATCTGAATCAGCTGATATCAATCCTTATGCAATCGATCCCTTGATGACTCAATCTTGAAATCTTCGAGTTCCCACGTTCTTCTTCCCAAATTTTGGTGCAAACACCATCACCATCGGTGCTCCTGCTGATGGTCCCGGCATGGCCGAGCAATGCCCAGAGGAGCATGATGAGCTCGCCGCCACAGGCGATTAACTCCTTGTGTCCTTTCAAGTTGTCCGACGGCACTACATATAGGATCATCTCGGATCAGAAGTCGGCCAACAACTTCCACGCTGCCTCCTCGTTGTAGATCGTCTCCACCAGCTGCTGCCCAAGCTTCACGCCGTCATTGAGCACTTGATGCTTGGAGTTGGCATTGGCACTCAGTAGGTCGACTAGCTCCTGGTACCCTAGCGTTGATGCCGATGACATGCACAGGTAACGGTGGGTAAGGGCACAACATGGGCGAGCAAGGGCGCGCTCTGCGTCCTTCTTGACATCCTCATACAGGCTCTTGCTTCATGCATCATCCTCAAGGAGTAGCTTGGGACAGCAGATCCCTAGGTACACGTAGTACCATGATAGTTGAGTGGCAACAGTCCTACGATGATCTAAAGTAATAGATGAAGAGCTTTGTTTTCTGCTCTGAGGATACCTGACTTAAAGAATATTTGTGGTGATTTGCCATGTAAGTATAACATCAGACGTGCTCTTGTTGTTGCAGGCCCAGAGGAACCTTTCACCATCTTGATGACTCAAGCGGTAGAGAGATGTCCTACCATTGCTCAGGTGCCGACCATCATTTCTACTGCTTCATAGCGCGTTGATTATAGAAACCTTCACAGTTGGGTTGAGTTTGGTTTTCTGGTCAGGCAGATGGAGTAGACGCCTGCCAAGTGCAAGCGGGGTTTTTGTTCCTGCCGAAGTGGAAACACTGAGCATTGACGCATCCTCCCATCCCAGAAATGATGCTTCATAAGCCTACGTCTACATCTCAAAAGATATGCAGACCATTTAAATTCACTCATGGAAAGAGATTGATTATCACTGTGCAGAAGCAGGCAGCAAGTGATGACTACTTTGGTCTAGTTGGACTTTGGTCCAGTTGGAGCAGATATAGGAAGCCAAGTCCCTCAGCTCAGTTGTCATGACAAACACTAGAAGCAAAAACAGTGGCACAACATCGACTAGTAGGCTTCCAAAGACGTCAGAAGCTGCATCTTTACATCGGATGACACACTCAATCTGATGATGCACCCAACTGTTGGGTTGTGATCTAAATTCAGTTATGTAGGTATGGATCGTCGCCTATTAGGGTTTTCCATCTCTATATATACCTCCTATAAGCCGTCGTCTTGGGATAAGAAAAGTTGTAAATCCCCGACGTTTGTAACCTCACCCGATATAGTGAAGATTTGCTGGCTGGTGCCCGTGGTTTTTTCCCTTCTTCTTTGGAAGGGTTTTCCACGTTAAAATCTCGTGTCCCCCGTGTTTGATCTACTGTTCTTCGTCGTTTATATTGCCTATCGTTTCTAACAAGTGGTACCAGAGCTTGGTTTCACATTAGGGTTTCGCGATGGCATCGATGAAGTTGCTGGATTACAAGACGAGATTTGCGCTGTGGCAAGTCAAGATGCAGGCGATTCTAGCACAATCTTCGGATCTTGATGAGGCGTTGGATAGTTTCGGAGGCAAAGGGCAGAAGTCATGGACCGCTGAAGAGAAGTGGAAGGATTGTAAGGCTCTATCTCTGATTCAACTTCATCTACATAATGATATTTTGCAAGAAGTGCTGCAGGAGAAAACTGCCGCAGAACTTAGGCTCAAGCTGGAATCGATCTGCATGTCTAAGGATCTAACCAGTAAGATGCACGTGAAGATGAAGTTGTTCACACACAAGCTGCAAGAAGGTGGTTCGGTGATGAACCACTTATCGATATTTAAGGAGATCGTTGCCGATCTAGTGTCGATGGAGGTAAAATATGATGATGAAGATTTAGCTCTTCTACTGTTATGCTCACTGCCTAGTTCGTTTGCAAATTTCTGAGATACCATACTATTAAGCCGTGATGAACTAACCCTTGTGGAAGTATATGAGGCCCTCCAATCGAGGGAGAAGATGAAAGGTATGGTTCAGTCTGACGTGTCATCCTCCAAGGGCGAAGTGTTGCAGGTTACAGGCAGGCCCGAGCAGAAAACTTACAACAACAACAATAATCGAGACAAGAGCAAGAATGGTAAAGGCCGTTAGAAGTCCAGAGGTAGGGATAAGTTCTGCAAGTATTGTAAGAAAGCTACTTTTGTCATTGAGGATTGTTGGAAGCTGCAGAATAAGGAGAAAAAAACGGTACGTATAAACCGAAAAATAAATCCGGTGGTGATGGTAAGGCATCTGTTGTCTCTGTTGTTGATAACTCTGATTCAATAGACGTTCTTGTTGTTTTTGCTGGTTGTGTTGCTGGTCATGATGAATGGATACTTGATTCGGCATGCTCGTTTCATATATGCTTTAACATATATTGGTTCAGTTCTTACGAGTCTGTGCAGAGTGGAGATGTCGTGCGTATGGGAGATAACAACCCACGTGAGATTGTGGGTATTGGCTCCGTTTAGATCAAGATGCATGATGGTATGATACGCACACTGAAAGATGTGAGACACATACCAGGGATGGCTAGAAATCTCATCTTCCTTAGCACACTTGATGCCGAGGGGTACAGACACTCTGGTTCAGGTGGAGTGTGTAAGGTATCAAAAGGCTCTCTCATTCATATGATAGGTGATATGAATTCTGCAAAGTTATATGTTCTTAGAGGAAGTACTTTACATGGTTCCATTACTGTTGCTACTGTTCTAATGATGAACCAAGTAAAACTAATCTCTTGCATATGCGTCTTGGGCATATGAGTGAACTTGGTATGGTAGATTGATCAAGAGAGACCTGCTGGATGGCTGCACTATGGGTAAGATGAAGTTCTGTGAGCACTGTGTTTTTGGTAAGCACAAGAGGGTAAAATTCAATATATTTGTTCATATCACTAAAGGTACACTTGATTATGTACATGCTGATTTGTGGGGGCCGTCTCGTAAGCCCTCTTATGGTGGTGCTCGTTACATGCTTATCATTATTGATGATTACTCTAGAAAAATGTGGCCTTATTTTCTGAAAAATAAAGATGATACTTTTGCTGCTTTTAAAGAGTGAAAAGTTATGATAGAAAGACAAACTGAAAAGAAGGTAAAATTGCTTCGTACTGACAATGGCGGTGAATTCTGTTCGGATGTTTTTAATGATTACTGCAAGGAAGAAGGAATTGTCAGGCATCACACCATCCCGTACAGTCCTCAGCAGAATGGTGTGGCTGAGCGCATGAACCGAACCGTCATCTCGAGGGCTCGTTGCATGCTGTCCAATGCTCGTATGAATAGGCGTTTTTGGGCTGAGGCTGCTAACACCGCCTGTTACTTGATCAACCGGTCACCTTCTATCCCACTTAATAAGAAAACTCTCATTGAGGTATGGTCTGGTATGCCTGCTGATTATTCACAGTTGAGAGTTTTCGGTTGCACTTCTTATGCTCATGTTGATAATGGAAAGCTAGAACCTAGAGCCATTAAGTGTCTATTTCTTGGTTATGGTTCTGGAGTTAAATGATATAAGTTATAGAATCCTAAAACTAAAAAGACTTTCATGAGCAGAAACGTTGTTTTCAATGAATCTGTTATGTTTAATGACAGCTTGTCCATAGATGTTTCTCCAGTTGGTTCTTATGAGGAGCAGCAAGATGTTAGCATGTAGGTGGAGCACGTAGATGATTAGGAAACTGAAATTATTGATAACAATGTTCATGATATTGTTCAGCACTCACCTCCTGTTTTGCAACCTCAAAATCAGTCTATTGCAGATCGCAGAACAAAGAGGAATTATGGACCTCGTGCATGTTTAATTGAGGAATGTGATATGGTTTATTATGCCTTTAGTTGTGCTGAACAGGTGGAGAACATTTATGAGCCGGCTACGTACACGCTGTTGTTTCTGGTGACCGCGAGAAGTGGATTTCCGCTATGCAAGAGCAGATACAGTCACTTGAGAAAAATGGCACATGGGATGTTGTGCGCTTGCCTAAACAAAAGAAGGCCATTCGTTGCAAATAGATCTTCAAGAGAAAGGAGGGTTTATCTCCTAGTGAGCCTCCAAGATTTAAGGCAAGGTTAGTAGCAAAAGGTTTTAGTCAGATTCCTGGTGTTGATTATAATGACACGTTCTCTCTAGATGTAAAGCATAGTTCAATTCGTATATTTTTCGGTATTGCTGCTATGCGAGATATTGAGCTTGAGCAGTTAGATGTAAACATTGTGTTTCTACATGGAGAGCTCGAGGAGGAGATATACATGGACTAGCCAGAAGGGTTCATAGTACCTGGTAAGGAGGATCATGTTTGCAAATTAAAGAGGTCTTTATATGGTTTGAAATAGTCTCCTCGTCAATAGTATAAAAGGTTTGATTCTTTTATGATGTCACATGGTTTTAAGAGGTCTGAATTTGATAGTTGTGTGTACATTAAATTTGTTGATGGATCACCTATATAGTTGCTGTTATATGTTGATGATATGTTGATTGCTGCCAAGAGCAAGAAAGAAATCACTACATTAAAGAAACTGTTGAGTAGTGAGTTTGAGATGAAGGATCTTGGTGCTGCTAAGAAAATTCTAGGTATGGAGATTATAAGAGACAGAAATTCTGGTTTGTTATTTCTTAATCAGCAAAGTTACATTAAGAAAGTTCTTCATCGTTTCAACATGCATGATGCAAAGTCTGTTAGTACTCCTATTGCTCCTCATTTTAAATTATCATCTTTACAATGTGCTAGTACGGATGAAGATTTTGAGTACATGTCAAGAGTTCCATATTCTAGTGCTGTTGGTTCTTTGATGTATGTCATGGTTTGCTCTCGTCCTGATTTATCATATACTATGAGTTTGGTTAGTAGATACATGACTAATCCTGGTAAAGAACATTGGAAGGCTGTTTAGTGGATTTTCAAGTACCTTCGTGGCACAACAAATGCTTGTTTGAAGTTTGGCAAGATTGATAAGGGACTCACTGGCTACGTGGATTTAGATTTTACTGCCAATTTGGATAAGAGGAGATCTCTCACAGGTTATGTGTTCACTATTGGTGGTTGTGCTGTGAGTTAGAGGGAAACATTGCAGCCCGTTGTTGCCCTGTCTACCACTGAAGCAGAATACATGGCTGTTGCTGAAGCATGTAAATAATTAGTTTGGTTGAAAGGTTTGTTTGCTGAGCTTTGTGGAGATGATTCTTGCATTAATTTATTTTGTGATAGTCAAAGTGCTATATGTCTCACTAAAGATCAGATGTTCCATGAGAGAACGAAGCACATTGATGTCAAATACCATTATGTTCGCGATGTTGTCGCGCAAGGTAAGCTGAAGGTATATAAGATAAGCACACATGATAATCCTGTTGATATGTTGATAAAGCTAGTTCCTGTTGCTAAGTTTGAGCTTTGCTCAAGCTTAGTTGGTATAACTGTTTAGTCCAAGAGGCTATTTGGCACCGGAAGTATTTCTTTGTTGTTTCAAGGTGAAGGTTCGTTTTATGCTACAAGAAGGAATTTGTCTTAAGGTAGAGTTTGTTGAGTTGTGATCCAAATTCAGTTACGTAGGTATGGATCGTCGCCTATTAGGGTTTTCCATCTCTATATATATCTCCTGTAAGCCGTCGTCTTGGGATAAGAAAAGTTGTAAATCCCCGACGTTTGTAACCTCACCTAGTATAGTGAAGATTTGCTGGCTGGTGCCCGTGGTTTTTTCCCTTCTCCTTGGAAGAGTTTTCCACGTTAAAATCTCGTGTCCCCTGTGTTTGATATACTGTTCTTCGTCGTCTATATTGCCTATCGTTTCTAACACCAACCATACTTATTGTGTATCATCCATACTGAAAGAAAGATACAGTAGCATATGGTGCAGAGTGAGATAAGGATGCCCACGATGGGTAGCCAACACTTTGAGTAGGAGATGGGGAGGGACGCGTAGTAGTCATGAAGGAAAGAGAGGCTATCCACAACCACCCTAAACACCCTATCAGCTGGTTCACTATCGTTGAGCAACATGCTCCAGAAATAACCGAATGAGTTCTTCATATCAGAGCCAGAGACAGCGTCAGCAAGCTCGTACCTTGCGAATCGACATCGCAGCAGCTTGAACAATGCAAAAGATAAGCACAAGTCCTTTAGCCTCTGTGATGTTCACGCTGGAAGAAGCATTGTGCCGTTGTTGCCATCTGGCTGCTGCCAAACCCTGTCAACTGTCACCAAACCGTTAATGCCTGGTTTGTGCAAGGACGACGACGACATTGTTCTCGATCCTGAGTTGTCGTCATCATACATCAACACGTACCCGCGAGGATGCTTCTCGATGTGCCTGCTCTCTTCTCCCATAACCAATAGTGGGAGTGGAGGTACGGCCATTGGTTGCAGCTGTCGCATGTACCTAGAAACAAGGCAAGGATTGCGCCCAAAGGCGAAGAATTGCTGCACAAATTTAGCAGCATAAAATTTGAATGCCAGTTTGGCAAGAGTGAGGACAAAAGGTAAGACTTCAAGGAGATAGAGAAGAGTGAAGTCCAAGGTATGGTGGGATCTGGGATATGTTTCATAATCCCCGAAGATAAAGATGAATGGGTTTGTTCTCCTTGGGATACGTGGCCTGAAGTATGTAGATCTGGCTGATACCGAGGTAAAGGATCCAGACCCCCTGAGCAAGCAGTTCCATAGGAGGGCCTGTGCTGCGACCTTCTCTTTTGTCAACAGCGACTACTATGCTGGTATTGATGAGGACATTCTAAACAAGCAGTGCCCATGTTACCACCAGGACAGAGTGCTTGTCCGGATTGCACACAGCCATCAAGGAAGGGGCTTTCTGGTCCCATATGTCAGGGATGATCATGCTATAGTCGAATCCAGTGTTGATGGATGAGACGACGGAGGAGATGATAGGCAAGAACAGTGTGGTGGCGCCGAGGTAGATAAAACGGGTGAAGGGGTGGTGACGGTAGCGCTGGCTATAGGCATCTATCCCAACTATAACGCCCACCATGATGGCGCTGGCAAGCAGCAAGGCGTCCACACGCCACAGCTTCTCTTCCATGCCTTTGTGGAAGGAGCGCCACACATTGTCGTCGCAGCCAGCTTGAAGAACATGACGTAGATCTTCAGTATAATCACTAAAATGCTCCATGGGCCTGCCGAATGCCAAACCTATTTCAAGTTAATTAATTAGAACATATATAGTGGGAGCAAGGTTGCAGATATTGAGATATATAGAACCTAGCAAGCACGAATGAGAGTGTGCAGCTAAAATTGGACGAAACTAGCAGATGGAATCCAATCAATCAGAGCTTTTTCTTGACGTCAAATATCAATTTTATTTTATATTTTACTAGTGCATAAACCGTGCTGTAGCATGGGCTACAGTATTATAGGGAGACATAAGCATTAGTTAATGTTTAATACATGTGACTAATAAAAAAATACTTATATTAAATTAAATGTTTTTTTCTCAGATGTAGATCTGAGAGGATATTTTAGTTTTTTTTAATAATGAAAGAAGTGGTATTTTAGATGTAAATTGAAAGAGTTACATAGATTATCATTATAATAGAAGGTGGGTACAAAGTAAGGTTTACTTTAGATCATGTTTACTGAATGGCATCATGTTTACTTTAGTGGTAGTTGTGTATATATGTAGTGATTAATAGTTACTGCACTAATGAAGCTTCTAACTCCAATACTGATACAAGGAACTAATGGAAGGATCGAGTTACCTCAATGTGGGTCTGGCAGAGAGCCAGAGATGCAGCTAGCTGAACCTGAACGACGATGATCGACTGCGTCACTTGGCTTTGAATTACCTTAATGTGTGGGTCTCTGGAAGAGCGCAATATATATAGAGCTTGTGCCAGCTCCTACTATCCTTGCCTTGTGTATGTAAATCTGCGTGTACGATTGCCAGCTCCTTTACTTTGGACAAAAAAAAAAGGGACACGTGCCTAAAGTAAATGCTGTATCCCTGCAAGTTGCTTCTCATATGGTTCTTCATGGTAACCTTTATCTTTTAGAAAAGAAAAAGAGATGAAAGCAGCATGTAGGTGGAGCAGGGATCTCAAAGTTAAAGCGAGAGCTGCACCATATTCGTTCACGCACTGAATACGATATATATCGTGTCTCCATTAACAATATATTCTAGCATTTTCTCCATACTGGCAATTATCAGTATCAGCATCCATTCAATCATGTCTGAATTACCTGTTTTGAAAACGGCTTGGCAGTGGCCCTGCAAAGTGAACTGGCAGGAACAATGCTAGGTTTTGATAATAACAAAATTACAAAAGATGACGAGTGCTTTGAAGATTGCCGGTCAACCTCCCTGTCCGTCGCACACGCTCATGCTCAGGCGACTCGCGCCGAAGGCCCCGACGCGCACGCTGCGCGTCGATGTCTCCGGCGGTTGTCACTCGCCACGCCAGCCGTGCCAACACTGCACCCTGCCGCCCCTACGCCCTACGCTTGCTGCCCGACATGTGAACTCCGATGTTTGCCGAGGCCGTAAACGCCCGATGCAAGGTGCATGGTACGGTGGTACCTGAAGTTTGTCGAAGGGGATGGTCATTATGGAGCAACCATTGGCACCTACTATTGATCTGTGATATGTGACCATGCTTATGCATCCCATCCGTAGGAGAAATGTAGTTTTTCTTTCTAACTATTCCTCCTAAATTTAAGCAATAAATTCATTTAGTTGGATGCATGCGTATGAACACGTGTCGCAAATCTACAGTGTGTGTCCATGCTTGCTCCATGGGGTTGTCCTCACCTAATTTCTTTCCCCTCGACCCCTTCGGGTGTTCCCTCGATGTCGCCTGCCATGATGGCAGCCGGGTGCGCACCCGCCACCACTCGATGTGACCCCGACGCAGATTCAAGTAGATCTGGTTCTGGGGCCAACAGGCCTTCATCATGTCCTTCACCAGCGACGAGCAGCCAGAATGAAGCACCGCCCTAGCTCGCCCACCTGGTGCTACGTCAAGCTCCGGTGATTTCCAATGGCCTCCGCGAGCTCCTGTGGTCAGATGCACCACCAACGGCAGCAGCCTTACCTCTTCATCGGCCGGCCCCAACAAGCTTTGTGCAGCAAGGAAGCGCCACTGCCGTCCCATCTGAAACTCATGGGCGTAATGCTTTGGATGAGGGTGGTGGTGAAGCCATAGCAAATTAGAGAGGGGTATATTATGAGTGCATAAACTTGTTCATAGAGGGTGCTGATTTGGGAAGGTTTGATCCCACCGCTGACTCACCATAGAGGAAGCACCGCCCTAGCTCCGCCCGAACTCCGCCCTTGTTCATAGAGGCGCGGAAGGTTTGATCAACTCCATCAAGACCACTGTACCAGCTCCGCCCGTCCCACCGCCGACTCTTTCCCCTCTCTCCGCTGCCGCTCAAGGCCGGGAGTCCGTGCTCCTCGTCGAGCCTCTCCCCTCCTCTGCGCGCTTTGGGATAGCTCAGATGGTGAAAGATTGAAGATGACAAGTGGGTCAAAATGATCAGTCTCTAATAAGAGAAATTGGGGGCTTTGATTTAAGGGCTCCTGCTGGAACAAATGCAAAATAGAGGGCCAACAAAAATGAGGGGAAGTATCCAAATCCAAAATAGGGGTCCTGATTTTGGGGCTACTGCTGGAGTTGCTCTTTGCTGGCTCCTCCCCGACTAGGATCATATATAGCAGAACAAGGCAAGCAATTTAGATGGATGTCATGATCAAACAGATCCATCTTAAGCTTCACTGGTGTCCGGCCCCACCGAACCCTGGGCCCCGTGCATCAGTAGCAAGGGAGATCACCAAGCCGCGCACACGACACTCTTCAGCCACCTGCAGGATGGCCGGCATCGTCCACGACCACGCGACCCACGACGTCCCAATCGACACAGGTACGTACTCACGCCGATCAAGCACTGAGGATCCCGACCGACGCGCCGCTCTGATCCCGCTCGATCGGCACCGAACCTCCGTCCGGATATACATTGATAAAGTCTTGGTGCTCTTCTAGAAATGCTCCCAACCCAAAGGACCATCACATGTTGGCAACTCGGGGATAGGGGGGCTTGAACCCCCATCCATCCACCACCTTATTCATTACAATGCAGTGAGAGACAGGGATGACGATAAGGGAGGCGGAGGGAAGAACACGTAGTGAAAGGATTATTGCCCCACCACTACAAATCAGGTCCAACTGAGACTCAACAAAATCTGACGTAGAACCACAGGGAAACGAAGTGTCCAACTGTCATGCAAGCTTCTATAGTAACTGGGAATCACTACAAGCTCTAGTAATTGGGAGTCTAAGGACACCTAAAGGATTCTCACAATTTATATAGCAGTCGTAAGCACCTAAGGTGTGCCTGTCAAAGCAATGACGTAATGGATGTGGATACTAAGGAGCCCAGTACCGTCTTCACCTCGGCCTGGCTCACACTGAGTGTACGTGTGCATGTGGTCGCACACCATATCTACCATCCACATAGGTTTTACGGTCAGCCTATTTTTGAAGACGGGTCACATTACTAAGTGTCTCTAGAAATTGATTTCTATAGATGGTTAGAGTTTAGCAGCCTTTAGAAATGCCTCTATGTTCTGAAGCAGTTAGAAACAACTATGAAAATAGAAAGCATTTCTAGAGGCGGCTTAAAATACCTTGCCTCTAAAAATCAGTTTATGGAGGGTGAGCTTTATCATAAACCAATTTTCAAGATGATTTTTTATAGAGTACAGAAACCGAAGATGTCTCTAAAAACTAATTTTCTATAGCGAATGTTTGGGCCCAACAAAACTAGATTCGAGGTAAACTGGGCTCCACTTGGGCTCCACTTATAGTAACAAGGAAAAGTCCCTTCGACATCCCTAAATTGTCGACATGGTTTGATTTTCCTCCTCGATCTCTATAATCGGACATCTTACCCTCTCAACTCTCAAAATCGTTTAAATTACCCCTGCCCCGGTTACAAGCAGTTTTCAAGTAAGTTTCATTTGTTTTGTTAATAAAATATGGTAAATACCTGATAAAGTTTTGTACCACAAAAAATGTCACTAAGCTTCTCAAAAATCTTAGAAAAATCATAGACATAGTAGATTAGGAGATGACGAACTGAAGAAAAATATCTAGAGCTCGTGAAATTACCTCAGGAGCTAGCAAACATTAAATTTAGCTACAGGGAAATGAAAAAAAAGATCTATTAAAATTTAAAAACTTTCCAAAATATTCTACTTGATGTCTAAACAGGTTATAAAAAATTCCATGGCAAAAAGAATGAGATGCGGCCAGAATGAAGGCAACCTACATTTTAGGCTGAATGCATTCATGACATGGGTTCATGCTGGTTGCATGCTTGATAAGTTTAAAAAATATTTTATCGAAAATATATTCCTGACAAGAGAGTAGGCGCCGCCGATGGAGATGGAGACCGGCACGCCCAGGAACTGGCACCGCTTGATGGCCGCGCCCATGCCAGCGGTCGAGTGCCCCGAAAGGTCCAGGTGGTAGCTGCCGCCGCTATTGCCGTAGACGTCGAGGAAGGACATGATGACCATGCTGTACAGGCCACAGTCGCAGGCTTCTCGGAGAGAGCCTCGTCCTTGTGCTGGCCCCAGAACACCGTCATCTACCCGGTCTTCCCCGGCGCGGTGTCCGGGGAGGCCAGCATGCTGATGACCGTGACGGAGAGAAGTGTCGCGGCTACGACTGCTGCTGCCGCCATTGCATGCAGCTGAGTTTCCTTCTTGCTGCTCCTGCTACGGTACTTTCCCCCTCCCCCGCGTCGCTCCAGGGGGCGGCTCGGAAGGTGGATCGGCTGCGTTGGAACAAATTGGTGGTGTGGAGGTACGGTCGGGCGTCGTCAGACATCATGGTGACGTGGGCAGTTGCGCTGGTTGTGCGGCGTTGGCACCGTGGTGGCGTGGACGGTGGCGGTCGGCTCAGGACGGGGCGGCGGAGGTTTCTGAGGGCCTGTGCGGCATGGTTGATGCGGGGCCGGCTCGGCAAGGGTCAGGATGTTGGTGGGCTGGGCGACTGGGGCTTCTTCTGATCCATGGAGGCATGGCTAGGCATTCCAGTTCCGCTCTTGCTCCTACAGGCTGTCCATGGTGGTGCCCCAAGCTGTGTTGTTTGGTGTTGTCTGGCAGGTCGT